TCGCTGGATACTCGATCAAATTTTGTTTTAGCCGATGTGATGCTGTCGAACTTAGCTCGTTCAACCCTTGGGTGAAAGCTTGTNACTGTCAAACTTAGCTCGTTCAACCCTTGGGTGAAAGCTTGTACGGCCCAATCGTTCGCGACCGGAGGTAATTCCATGCGTTCCATTTGAAATCGGGATACGAATTCCCTCAGCATTTCATCCTGCCTTTGCTTTACTTTGAAGAGGTCTGATTTCCTTGTTGCAACCTTTATGGCACCAGCATGTGCTTTTACGAACGAATCTGCTAACATGGCAAAAGAATCGATGGAATTCAGCGGTAAATTGTGGTACCAGATCATCGCTCCTTTCGAGAGGGTCTCGCCGAACTTTTTCAACAACACGGATTCGATCTCATCGTCCTCCAAATCGTTGCCTTTTCTAGCACATGTGTAATAGGTGACATGTTCGTTAGGATCGGTCGTACCGTTATATTTGGGAATTTTGGGCATACAGAATTTTTTGGGGATTGGCTTTGGTGCCGCACTCGACGAAAAAGGCTTTTGTATGAATTTTTTCGAATCAAGCCCCTTTATCATTGGTGGAGCCCCCGGGATTTGATCGACCCTGGAATTGTACGTTTCCACCCTCTTGTCATTGGCTTCGACTCGTTTTGTGAGTTCATCGAGCAATTTAGTAATTCCGGGAGTAGTTCCCGATTCTTACTCGTTAGATTTCACTACGGCGGGCTCTGTTCTGGGGGTGACTTCTCAAAGTGGATTGGAATCCGGCCTGCTTTATGCGCGAGTTTGGCTCTGTAGCTGAGCTATCGCTACTTGTTGGGCTTGTAGCATCTCATAGATCATACGTAAGCTGGCTCCGATTTCTCTTGCGTTTTGGGTGTCTCGGGCTACGGATCGAGTACCGCCCTGAATGCTTCTTTCTGGTTCGGAACGCTGATTCGCCTCCAAAGCTATTTGTGAATTGACATCCAATGGTATTCCGGTTCGAATTTCGGGTACTTCGATTCGAGCCTCGAGTGCCAAGCTATCGTTAATTGGCCTTCGGCCCCGGGAGCCAAGTTGTTGGTTTCATCTTGAAGGCCAGCTTCGTAATCGATCGGTGAAGCCATTTGATTGGTGGTTATTCGTAGCTGATCCGAAATTCAAGATATTTTCGGAAATAAGTGCAAAGCACAATGGCGTATTTTTTCAGATTTATATCAAATGACCATTGTTATCCTCGGCTCCTTAGTGGGCGCCAAACTGTTTACCCGAAAAATGGATAGAGTTGAATTTATACGTAGTTCCAAAGATATGTGGCGTAACTTAACACAAAATGCAAGGATAAATAAAAAGTGTAAATATAGATTAGGGAAAAATGCTAAAATAGATAAGGTTATCAGGAACAATGAATCTCAGGATTCAATAAATAGAATCAATCTAAGAAATCTAAAAGAAAGGTTCTTTTCTGTAGAAGAATATAGCCCTTTTATTATAATGTAAGCCTTGGAAAATCTTGTCTTACAGAAATAGTAACCAAGCCCTTTTATAGTGGAGGGATTTGGCTCTAAGCATAATAAAATAAACACTCAATGGGAGACCCATGATAAGTCAGTCTTTCCATAATTTCTGCCAAGATTCTCTATAGTAGGATTGCAACGGCTTTTGTCTGTGAGCTCGATCTTGCTTAGAACCCTCGATTTTGGTTTGAGCTTGATTTCGGCCCGAACTCATGATCTTGGTTCGAGGCCGATCCTGGCTCGAGCCCTCGAATTGATTCGAGGTCAATGTCGGTTGGTCTCTGGATTGTCAGCATGGTAGATTTTGATTCGAGCTTGGTAATGATATCGAACTTGACATGGATCGGCCTCCCCAGGTTCGAGGATAGTTTGCTCCACCTTCGAAATCTCACTTTGATAAATCATCGTTTGAACTCGATCGGACGTGCTAAGGCCGAAATCTATTTCGACCGTATACATAACTAAAGCCATTGAGTTATGTCGAACTCGTAAGTAGAACTTGAGCTCCGCCCCTGATCTTATAGATAGTTTACATCTTTGCAGTAAACTCCGCTCAGCTTTTGTCCCATTAACATATGTTTTCTGTGGGCTGATAGTATTAGATTAAATTTGGTAACCAAAAAGTAATGAATAACATTGTATACGGTCGAAATCGAGCTCACCTACGACATAGTAGGTTAGGTTCGGAACATGGCAATAAAGGACTGAAGATCGACCCCAAGTCCCACCGGGCTAGAACCCGGGGTTGGAACGCCCGCCTTTGAGAATATCGAGGCCATGATCCTGGAATCGATCCTAGCCCCGAACGAGCTCGAAGAAATATTGTTAGCATAACAGAAGACCGAAATATCCGTGACCGGTCGGATATTGCGGCGGGAATCTCGGCACGTATCAATGAGAAACTGGCAATCGGCAAATCAAGATATTTTTTACCTTTTATAGAATTGTACCTAAAATAGGACTCATCTACTATATAAAGGAGGTCTCATGGTTCATTTAGCACATTGTAACACGCATTTCAAAGCAATACATTATTATTTTTCTCTTTAATCTCTTGTTCTTCTGTATCGTGATACCGATCAAAGTGCATCTGGCTCGAGGGTGGGTGGCTAACCTTCCGAGATTGAAATTATCCAATTCGTATGGTTTGAATTTACTTTATCATTGTTTATTTCAATTGCAACTTAATTTATCACTTTGTATCAAGTTAATCCGCGTATCCTTAAAACCACTTACAAATTTAATTTTTATTCGATTTTGAGGGTAAACAGTTTGGCGTCCACCGTGGGGCAAATGATAGTAGTGGTTATTTGATACAGATTTTCATAACACACACTACTTTACACTTGTTCTTTGAAGTGTCTCTAATTTCAGGTTAAAGCTCAAAATGTCAAACTCTCAATCACCACCCCTACATGTTGATAATGAGTCCGGCCATCACGGTGAAAATAACAACATAGTGCCCATTGATGAGGTACCGCCTGTGAGCATGTAATTTTTACCCTACCAAAATATTCCTACAAAATTAATAAATAAATTATTCATATTTATTTTTTTTAGATTTGTTTTAGGATTTTTGTTAATTATTTGAAATTATTTGCATTTAGTTGCATTATTTTTCATTTTTGAAGTCATGAAAATTAACAAAAATTATTTAAACCTTCATCATCTTGCATTATTAGGTTTTTAATTTAATTTAACACCTAATTGCGCAATTTAATCATATTATTAAAAGAAAATCATAAAAATTATTTATTTTTGACATTGTTAGTTTTAATGTTAAAATTAGTAGTTTTACTTGTTATAACTTAGGATTGATTAATTAGTTAAATAATAAGGGTAAATAGTTAATTAATTTTACAAATTAAGATAGCCTAGTATTTAATTAGGATTTTTAGTTAAGTTAATTAGATTTTTTGGAATTAATTAAATTAATTAGGGAACTAATTAAATTAATCGAACTGGGCCAGTGTAAAAACCAGCCCAATCCCCAAAGTCTAGCCCAAAATTACCTAGCCCAATCCCCTAACCCGTCTAGAATCCCGCCTAAACCTAAACGGTGCCATTTCAAGCACCAATTGATCCTGGTCGTTGATCTTCAATAGATCCAACGGCCCGGAACTCCCTTCCCCCTAAGTATATATATGTCCAAACCCTCTGCTACCCCCCTCATTCCCGTCTCACCCCCCTNATAGATCCAATGGCCCGGAACTCCCTTCCCCCTAAATATATATGTCCAAACCCTCTCCTACCCCCTCATTACCGTCTCACCCCCCTCTCTCACACCTCTCTCTCTCTCTCTCTCCGAAACACCCCCAAACCCTAGAGACGACCCCCATAACCCCATCTCTCTAACCACCATCCTAAGCCGTCGCCGGAAATCGCCTACGGCGGCAGCGACACCCCAAAGCCACCCAAACTTACCCATACACTCTCCTCACCTCCCTGAAACTCACCCTACCAACCAAATCCCCAAAACCCCCACCAATAATCATAGATCTTAGATCTAGGATCTCTGAAACTCTAGATCTGTTTTTCAAAACCCTAAAACCAACCTAGTCCGTTTAATAATCCTCCTGCCAAGATCTCCCATCAAGGATCTCAGATCCCATATGGGAGTCTTGGCATGAGGGTTTTTAACGGCTAGATCTATTTATTTTTTTGTATATTTATGTTATTTTCTGTTTTTCATCTTTATATTTTTGTGTATATTGTCGATTATTGTTCTTTTTTGTTTATTATTATTTATTTATTTATTACTGTCTGATATTCTGTTAAAATCGATTAATTAAACAAACTTAATTAAGATAAAGTAAAAACAGTGTTAGATTACTTTATTTTTCCTTCTTTGGTTTCTTTTTTTTTATTATTATTTTATCTTTATTAGTTTTGAGTTTATTTTTAGTATTATTGCTTTGTTGTTTATTTTTTTAAATTAATTGCCATTATTTTATTTTATTTTTATTTTTACTGTTGTTTGGTTTGGCTAAGAATTGGGCCTCACTAAAGTGGTCCATTCTACTTGGTTCATAAATTGGGCATGTCTGAATAGACAGGCCTATAGCTTTGTAAGAAGATTAAGAGCCCAAAGTCCTTAGGCCCAAAGTCACCTGACTCAGGCCCAGAACCAATCTGGTTCTAAGAAAATTCCAAGACCCTTAAGGGTCAGTTTTGGAATCCCAATTCTGAAAATTATTCAGAAAATACTAAAAACTTCTAGAATAGGGACAAATGACCCAATGCTGAGTAGGAAAATAGGGATAAGATCCAAAAATATCCAGAAATTGGACACTTGTCCATTTTTTGAGATAAGGAAGGTACTAGAAATTGGACAGTTGTCCATTTCTGTTAAGAAAGATGCCATTTTCCTAATTTATGGAAATTCTGGCAGATTCTTTTGTACCCTAATTCTCATCCCTTTTCACTCATTTACTCTATAAATACACTCTTCCCTTTTCATTATAGGGCGGACAAATTAAGACATACAATATATACACCGAAATAGCTACACACCTACACACACAAAAACACACAGAAATCTTGCACTATCTTAAGGTTTTCTCTTCATTTCCAAAAGAAAAACTTCTGAAAATCAATCTTGATTTTTTCAGAGACAAAAATATACAATCCTTTCCTGTTTTCTTTTAAAAATCCGGCTATTCTTCCTACCTTATTGGGTTTCATCGCTGCTTCTTTACTTCAAACTTTCAGAGACTTATTTTCTTACTTATTTGTTTCTGCTGCTATCAAGGTACTTCCTTAAATAATGTAAATATTTAAATCTTGTTGTATCATGACTATGATTCTACTGGTTATCAAAAATCTGTGTTCTGTTTGAATATTGCATAAAGTTGTTTGGTTGAGAGTAGTTAGTTATTTATACTGCTTGATTCATTTAAGTCATGGTAGTTTTTATGTTAAAATATTCTTAAAACTGTAAAAAAAAAAACTGTTTAAAGCTTTATATATTCACAAAATCTGTATGTGCGTGTGTAATAGTAGAAGCAAAAACAACACACACAGACATTTTTTTAGAAAATTTATTAAAGTAGTAATAGATAGATTTGTTATCACTAATATAATAATTTAGCTTTTATATTATATTATCATGTACAATGTGTTGGTTTAATTAGTAGTTTTACCATTTCATTTAAAACAATCAAATATAGTAAATCTGATTCCATTAGTTCTAAGCCATGAAAAAACTAGGTTTTTCAAGCAAACCTAATAGTAATCAGNGCACACACACATTTTTTAGAAAATTTATTAAAGTAGTAATAGATAGATTTGTTATCACTAATGTAATAATTTAGCTTTTATATTATATTATCATGTACAATATGCTAGTTTAATTAGTAGTTTTACCATTTCATTTAAAATAATCAAATATAGTAAATCTGATTCCATTAGTTCTAAGTCATGAAAAACTAGGTTTTGCAAGCAAATTTAATAGCAATCAGGGTACATTTTCAGGTACAAAATGAACACTGTCCAGAACCCGCCGTTAAATGTTGTAGAGCAGGCTCCACTGCAGCTTCAAATGCGGTGGCATGACTTGAGTAAAGATGGTCAAGACTGGGTAGTAGAATATTTAGGTGCTCTCACGGATATTATGAAAGTCAAGCCCCGGAATGATCTGATCAAGGCTTTAGTGCCCTTCTGGGATCCCGTTCACAATGTCTTCCGCTTCTCGGACTTTGAGATCACTCCCACCCTGGACGAAATAGCCGGATATACTGGTTTCGGCCGGGACTTGAGAAAACAACAATTTATATTCCCAAGGCCTCCCTCTGTGCGCCGGTTCTTTGATATTTTGAACATCAGTAAACAAATAAGGAAGAACAATGTAAATGATGGATGTTGTTCTTTCTACTTCCTGTACTCCAGGTATGGACATCTAAATGGGCTTGAAATGCATGAAAAAGGGTTGAAAAACAAGCAAAGCAAAGATACTTGGAAAATTCATCGTCGCTTTGCTTTCATAGTGGCATTCCTGGGCATCATGGTCTTCCCAAATGAAAAAGGGACGATTGATATCCGTATGGCTAGAATTGCACAAGTCCTAATTGCCAAAGAATATCACACACTTGCTCCACTTATATTGTCGGATATCTATCGGGCATTAACATGGTGTAAGGCTGGGGAGACATTCTTTGAAGGTTGCAATATCCTTCTACAAATGTGGTTAATTGAACATCTTTGCCATCATCCGAAATTTATAAGCTACGGCCCAAGTAAGAGCAACTTTATTGAGAGTTATGAGGAAAGGGTTAAAAGATTACAACTCTCCAGAAGGGGTTAAAGCTTGGATTGCCCACTTGAGAACTTTAAAGGCGAATTAGATTGAGTGGACTTTAGGATGGCTCCCAGTAAGGGAAGTCATATACATGACAGCCACAAAAAACTATTTGCTATTGATGGGCTTGAGAAGTGTCCAACCATATGTACCCCAAAGGGTTCTGAGGCAATTGGGAAAGTATCAAGTAGTGCCTAAGGATGAAGACTTGAGTGTCCAAGTTATTGAGCTATATCCTGAAGCCCCACTTCCTGAAGCTTTAATTCAACAAATCTGAAATGGGTGCCGATACTTAAAAGAGGACACCCAAGTACCTAATCTTGCCAAAGGCAATGTAGATCCGGGCTATGCCGGATGGTTTGAAAAAAGGAATTGCATTGATGAAGAACCGGAGCCCGAGCCAGAAAGGCCCGCCAAGAGGCCTCATGTTCAAATTTTTTGTGACAAAATCCAAGAACGATTGGCCTGGGGAGGAAAAGATAAGAAATATCAAGCCACTATCCATTCCTTGGAGGAAAAATTGAGAAACCTCGCATTTGACAATGATTTGTAGGCGCAGGTAGCTGAAGGTGAAAAGAGAAAGTTAAACCAAGAGAACGAGGCGCTCCCAGCCCAACTCCGGAATATAAGAATGAAGGTCCATGACTATGCAGCTGACTTGATAAAAACCGAAAAGGATTTGCTAGATGCTCAGACAAAACTAGCTAAGGGAGCAGAAGAACAGGCCTACCATTTGAGACAAAAATATGGCAAAGAAATAACAATTCTAAAGGAAATTGGAGGCCCGGGCACAGCAAATTGGGCGTCTGCTTCAAGAGAAAGTAGTTATCAGAACCAGGATTAAGGAGATAGCTCACTATGTCGTGATGAAATGTCACGAGTGTGAAGACATGACTAGGTCCATATTTTTTGCTTCTATGATGACCTTCGTCCACCAGGTAATGGATGACTTAGACCGTTTTTAAGAAGATATTGCGCGAAGGCCCGCGCAAAGACCACCTAATTCCCCACAAGCTCCAAGAAGACCAGTCGAGGCTCTTGTGTACTTTTGACTTTCCAATTTTCGAGTCTGTACTTTACTACTTTCTAGAGTTTTGTTCAAAATTATTTTGTCATTTATTTTGAGTCTGTATTATTTTCCTTTATAGTCTTCAGTACTTTAATTCCCTGTAATGAAAAACCAAAAAACGAAGAAGGAGATATCTTTGTTAATGAAATGAAAAAATGTGCTTTGTTATTTCATACCTATCCCCTGAACTACGTAATGATCTGATTCATGCGGCTTCATGATACGTAGTCAATCCACGTAGGATTTTATCATAACCCTAAAAAAAGTAATTAAGAAAACAAAAGAGATATACAATAAAGTCGGGATGAAACACACAGCCGTTGCAAAATATTTAGGAAAACGTTTAACTGTTTAGGTGCATTGCATCCCCAAATATGTGATTCTGTATGTGTTAAATGTCTCGAACTAACTGGTTTGTTGTGTGTGCTCCAAAAGAACAGGTTCTATTTTAGGTGGTTGGTTTTGTGGTGGTAATCTGGCTTCACACCCTTATTTTACGAGATCTAAAGAAAGTATCGACATGACCTCAGAAAATCATCTACCCATCATTGAGCCCGAGGATAGCCCGGTATTGGCTATCCCGCAGTCAGAGTCAGCAGCTGCTGAGGAAAATAGAAGGCTACGATGCCGTATGCTAAAAATATGGGACGCCTGGTCCAACGGCAGGGAACCACTCAGTACTATCCCTGGATTCGCTGAATTGCTCCCCAGGACGGGAGGAACCACCAATGTCCCTATCCCAGTGACCAACCCATTCATCCCATTTGGGTACCCCGCCATGTCAACCAACTTCGTTGGTATGCCTTCTGAGGTTCGCCCCCAGGCACCATCTTCAGGAATATCATCTACAGTGTTCACAGCACCACTAGCCTCTAGCATGGAACAGCCAACACTGCCTCAACAAACCTTCAAACCATCAACTTTTACTTTCCAAGCTCCCCAATTCCAATTGGACACCGCTCGGGTTACCCCAAATTCTTATCCTCAGCACCCACAATTTGAGTCTCCTATAGAACATGAGAAAGCCGCGAGGAATCTTGAATAAGAGGAGATAGCACGAAAAATTAAAAGCATCGAGCAAAGCCTCAAGAACATGTAGGGCCTGAGTGGCTAGAAAAGCATTTCATATGCGGATCTGTGCATGTTCCCTCATGTGCATTTACCCATCGGCTTCAAAACACCAAAGTTCGAAAGATATGATAGGCATGGAGACTCGATTGCTCACTTAAAGCGATATTGTAACCAACTGAGGGGTGTTGGTGGAAAAGAGGAGATGTTAATGGCCTATTTCGGAGAAAGCCTCACCGGAATTGCTTCTGAGTGGTATATGGACCAAGACATCTCCCATTGGCATATATGGGATGACCTGGCCCGGGATTTTATAAGGCAATTCCAATACAATGTTGATATAGCCCCGTACAGAAATTCTTTGACCAACCTCAAAAAGAAAGCCTCGAAAAGCTTCCGAGAATACGCTATCAAATGGCGTGAACAAGCGGCTAGGGTAAAACCCCCGATGGATGAGACCGAGATGGTCAGTGTCTTCTTACAGGCCCAAGAGGCCGATTATTTCCAAAACATGATGTCTGCCATGGGCAAACCATTCGCGGAGGCCATTAAGATTGGAGAAATGGTAGAAAACGGCCTAAAAATAGGTCGCATCTTAAGGCAATCAGCTCTAAGAACCACATCCCAAGCCATTCAGAGCGGCTCGGGAGGTTTAGCAAGCCGGAAGAAAAAAGAAGAGAGAGCCATGATGGCTTTGAGCTTAAGAAACTCTCGGCGACCCCGGGATTATTCTGGTCCACCTTCCAGAGCCCCACAGCATTATTACCCCCACCAGGATGCAGCCTATGCTATGGCCCCCCATCCTTATGCAGTAATGAATGCTTAGCCGTACACCCGGCCATAGCAACATTACAATCAGAACAGAGCTCCACCTCCAAGAAACAACCCTCCTCACCAAGCCCCGTATAATCCCCGTCTACCAAAGAATAATTACCAATATAACACCCGTCACCGTGAACCACCCAGAAAAGCTGACTTCATACCCATTGGCGAGTCGTACTCCAGCCTCTTTCCAAAATTAGTCCAAATGGGCCTGTTGCAGCCTGAACCTCCGAACATACAGAACCCAGAATCTTCATCCTACATGCCATGTACCAGGTGCGCTTATCACTCCGGGGCGGAAGGGCATGACACTGAAGATTGTTGGACCCTTAAGAGAGCAGTCGAGAACCTGATCGAACAGAAGAGGGTAGTGCTAAGGGATGAGGAAGTTCCCAATGTAACCAACAACCCGTTACCAGCCCACAATAACAGGCCGGTCATCGGGATGATCTGTGAAGACAAAGAATTTGACCCCGCATTAATAGCGATTATTGCCATTGCTGATCCAGAGAAGAAACCTAAAACAATGGCAAAATAGGTTAGGGATGAGAAAAAGATGAATTCCACTCCCCAAAATGAAGAAAAGGATGGGGAAGCAAAGACAGGGGAAGCGCCTGCCAAAGAGGCCATTCTCTACGTCCCAAGAGCCCCCAAAAAAGGGACAACTCATGTTAAACCCTCCCAAGAGTGGAGCAGAGGAAAACCACGCCAAGTTTGCCAAAAATGTATGTACCAAAAAGGACTTACGTGGCACGGAGGCCAGTCATTCCACCTAGGCTGGATGAGCCTTTGATCATTACTTGCATGCCACAAAATCCCATAAAAGACACTATTGCCTTCCCTTGGAACTACAATCAGACAATTGTCACATATAAAGGGAAGGAAGTTAAGTGGGGAGTGAATGAAACAAACCAATCTGGGAAGTATCATAACCTAGAAGAATTGAACAAAACCAAGTAGAAGCGTTTCTCTCTCAAAAAGCCTGTAACTGCTGAAGAAATGGAGGAATTCTTTCGGAAGATGAAAACCTCGGAGTATGCTGTAATTGATGAACTGAGAAAGGACCCCTCTCAAGTTTCACTCTTGTCTCTACTGATGAGCTCAAATGAACACCAAAAGGTACTTCTAAAGACGTTGAATGAGGCGTATGTTCCAATTGAGACCACGGTTGAATAGTTAGAAAGAATGGCAGAGCGATATTTTGAGGTTAACTGAATCTCCTTCAGCCGAAACGACTTGCCTCCCGAAGGAGCCGCCCACAACAATGCCCTTCACTTGACTGTTAATTGTGAGGGATATTATGTGAAAAGGGTCATATTGGATGGCGGGTCCGGAGTCGATATTTGCCCTCTATCAACATTACAGAGGATGGAAATTGGGACTGAAAGGATCAGACCAAACAATGTTTGCGTGCGTTCTTTCGACGGTGTCAAAAGGGATATGATAGGGGAAATTGACTTGATCCTAACCATTGGCCCCGTAGATTTTGAAGTAGCATTCCAAGTTCTGAACATGGAGACTTCCTATAACTTTTTCTTAGGAAGACCATGGATCCATGCCACGGGAGTTGTGCCCTTTAATCTCTATCAAATGATCAAATTCGAACATGAAAACCAAGAAATAATTATCCACAGAGAAGATGAACAATCAATCTACAGGGACCTGTCAGTCCTCTGTCTGGAGGCCAGAGAGGGAAGTGAACACATCGTCTACCAAGCCTTTGAAATCGTAGTCGCCGACCAGTGCGAAGAAGGAACCCCATGTCCACAACCCTGTTTATCAAGCGCATCAATCATGATCGCCAGTGAGATGATCAAATATAGGTACAATCTCGGGAAAGGGCTCGGGGTATCCTTATAGGGCGTCACAGAACCTGTTACCTTGGCTGCCAACAAGAAGTTCTTTGGCATAGGTTTCCAAGCTACCAATACCGACGAAAAATGGGCTGATGAACGTAAGAAAAATGGATGGGTCCTGCCTCAGCCAGTCCCGCATCTCGCCAAGTCATTTTTTAAGCCAAGGTATATAGAAGAAAAAGAAGATGCCTTCACGGCCGAAGAAATTGAGGACATCTGTGAGGCAATGAGGCAAATGTTGTACGAAGCCCACATGGTCCAACCGGGGGAAGGCTCAAGCACTGCTGAGGTGCAATACATGGGGCCAAATGTTAAGCTTCAAAATTGGAAGGCTACTCCATTCCGTGTCAGGCGGGAATCCCGGTAGTTCAGTCTTGCCATCTTTTCTGCATTTCGAGTTATTTTAGGGTGTAACTCGAATGTTTTATTTTGTTATTTTTTCAAATTCCGATGTAAACCCTCCTATCTTCAAATTCAATGAAATGAAATCAATATTTCATCGTCTATGAATCTTTTCCTGTTATTCTTTCTGATTATGCTATTTTTCTTATCTTTCTCTTTTCAGTTCTAATAATACGGACTTATATAACATGACATGCCTGCGGACTTCAGGCTCAAATCCTAAAACGCTATCTAATTATGAAATAATGAATCAAGAACCAGAATATAATGAAGATGAGGCTTTTAGGTAAATAAAACGAGAATTGGAACAATTTGAGAATAAGCCTAAGCTGAACTTAAATGAAACCGAGCCAGTTAATTTGGGCAGCTCAGAAGAGATCAAAGAACCATTATAAGCATTCACGCTGAGGAAAAAACTAGAGATGCATTGATTCAACTTTTGTTTGAATTTAAAGACGTGTTTGCATGGTCTTACGATGATATGCCAGGACTAAGTGATGATTTAGTGGTACATAAGTTGCCAACTTATCCCGGTTGACCACCTGTCCAACAAAAGCAAAGAAAATTCAAAACAGACATCAGCGATAAGATTAAAGAAGAGGTTGCCAAACAATTAAAAGTTGGTGTGATCCGAGTAGTCTGATACACCATATGGTTGGCCAATGTAGTCCCAGTACCAAAGAAGGACGGGAAGATTCGAGTATGTGTTGACTACAGGGATTTGAACAAAGCAAGCCCTAAGGACAACTTCCCGTTACCAAATATCCACATCCTTGTCGACAATTGTGCCAAACATGAGATAGTCTTTTGTGGATTGTTATGCTGGGTATCACCAAGTCCTGATGGATGAAGAAGATGCAGAAAAGACAGCTTTCATCATACCATGGGGGACTTACTGTTACAGGGTCATGCCATTCGGTCTGAAGAATGTCGGGGCAACATACATGAGAGCTATGACCGCCATCTTCCATGACATGAT